TAATAGTACTAGGTAAGTATTATTTGCGACCTATATGTGTGTGTGTGTGCGTGCGTGCAGGCGCGCGCGCGCGTGCGTATGTGTGTGTGTGTGTGTGTGTGTGTGGCGTGTGTGTATGTGTGTGTGTGTGTGTGTGTGTGTGTGTGTGTGTGTGTATGTATGTATGTATGTGCGTGTGCGTGTGTGTGTGTGTGTGTGTGTGTGTATGTGTGAAGAAAAGCGTATGAGAATACATGAAGAGGAATAAAGGTTGAGTACTAATTCGCTTACCTGTACGAGGTCTTCTCTCGAGGACCTTTCTTCCTATTTTTTATCTGTTTTCCAAGTTATATAGCTAGCCCATTGCCATTTCACTGTAATATTCCGTTGGGCTATGTCAGTTACTCTGGTTCTAATGCAAATATCTTCATTTCTAACTTTATCACGTAGAGAAACCCCTCTTTACATTTTTTAGATGATAGTTTGTCTAACATAAAAAAAACCATAAACCCAAGAATGTCTTTATATAGTTATTTATACTTAGGTTAGCACTATTCTTTGATTTATTTAAATTGTTTGATTTAATTTGATAACAGTGTACCTAAATGTAAGTATCTGTATCTTTATTTCCCTCCCCAATAATATTTTATAAAGTCATACTCATAAAAACAGCGTTTTATTGTAATACATAATTATAAAATTCAGTATCAACAATTTAATAAAAATATGCAGCAATAAAATTACATAGGTATTAAAAACTATCGAAATCTAAGTAACGAGAGCATGTTCGTCGTTCCACATCTAAATTATATAAAAATGCATTTTTCAATTTCACTAATAAACGTCGCCGCGAAAAGTTCTTCTTCTTTGGGCACTTTAAAAATTCATTTATTTAGAAAATAATATTAACTGTTACCAGTGTACAGATATTAACTAAATTAAGTATTTCTAGTCATAAAAATATTTATAATTGAGTATAAACTTTTAAAAAACTAATATATATTTGAACGAAGTCGCTCCAACACCGACGTGCGGTCCACCCTCTACGATGTCCGAAAACGGACTGTGACAGAGCCTACATGGCGACGGAGCATGCGCGCTCGCGTAAATATATTCAATTTCAGGGAAAAATGATATATTCTCTTATAAAACGGGGAATAAAATAAAACTCTCAATTAAAAATATTAATATTTTTAAGACCTTTTTTTTAGTGTAAGAACTATTTAAAAAGCTTGTGCCGTTTTGGAGAAATTTTGCAAAATATGACAAAGATATGTACTCTTTGGAGATTTTTTTTCTAATAAGGGGTTGACAAAAATACAATTTTGTTAAATTAAAAACATTTACCAAATCTTCTTCTGTTACCCTGTATTTTTTCTTTGTGGATTAAATGAACAGTTATTGAGATTTTTTTACTTAAATATCCTAGATTTAGGCATTTCAACCACTGTTAAGGCCTTAAGAATAAAAAAGAAGCATTACTTACTTGAACCCTTTAATTTTCGACAAATGTATGGTAAGACTATAAGTTATTGCTTAAATATCAATGCAATTTGATTTACCATATATGGTTGTCATTGCATTCTGAACAACGGATGAGGCAAAGTGATGTGATATGTTTGCTCTTATGTAAAAATCATTATCGCCATTATTATCAATGTTTGCAGATGATGATGATGGATACTATTATACTGCTAACACACGATAATGCTATTAGTATATGCTTATCTTTATATATAAAAATTACGTGTCACATTGTTTGTCCACGATGAACTCCTAAACTACTGAACTGATTTCAATGAAATTTTGCACACTGTGTGCAGTTTGGTCCAACTTGAGAGATAGGATAGTTTTTATTCCGATAAGTGACTCTCAATTTTTTCATTGCTAATTTCAGGAGTATTTTTTAGGAAAGCAAATGGTCGTCGGAAAGGGCAGAACAACGTCTGCCTGGTCAGCTATTAGTAATATATTTTAATTAATTATACAGTACAATATTCCTCATTATACACCAAAGAGGATTAACAAAATAAAATATACAAATATTCAATGGAAACAAACCAAAACATCACTGCAAGACATCAGTCTTCCAGACAACCCAAAAAGAGCTTTAAAAAAGGGGAGAAAAAACTACGGGTAAGGTGTATAATAACAACAAGTGCACTAGAAAGACAACAAACTTTAGATTACAGATCAGTGACCATAAATGAAAAGAAAAAAGAGTGGGGTTTATTATTCTATCATTAAAATAATATAATTCCGGTTCTCTACACTCACCATACGAAACACAGCAGTGTTAAGCTGCTATTTGACGCTGGTATTCTGTGAGAGCGTGGTCCTTCCCCGGTCGAGCCGACCCATTCATGCTACAACTATACTACTCATATAGCTGCAGCATGGCTCTACCACGTACAAAACTTGTTAACTAATTTTATATATTCCAGTTAATACGAGTATTATAATTTTTGTTTAATTTGAATAATGCGTGCGACAATTTAGTTATAAACAAAATATAAAGAACGTCTTTTTAGAAAGTAATAAACTAGAAAAAATTATTTACTAGCTTATACTGACTTATGTTTACGAGAGTCATTACGAATCGTCTCGCGCGCAGACTTGACGACTTCCAGCCTCCCGAACAAGCCGGTTTCCGAAAAGGCTTTAGCACCATAGACCACACACATACCCTTCGGCAAATTGTACAGAAGTCCGAGGAGTACAATTTGCCACTATGTCTGGCGTATGTGGACTATGAGAAAGCCTTTGATTCCGTCGAAATTTGGGCGGTGCTGCAGTCCCTTCAGCGATGCCAAGTTGACTGTCGGTATATCGAAGTGTTGAAGTGCTTGTACAGTAGGGCCACGATGGCTATCCGAGTACAGAACCAGAGTACGAAATCTATCCAATTGCAGAGAGGTTTAAGACAGGGTGACGTCATATCCCCGAAACTCTTTACCGCTGCATTGGAAGATGTTTTCAAGCTTCTGGACTGGAAAGGATACGGTATCAACATCAATGGCGAGTACTTCACTCACCTTCGATTTGCCGACGATATAGTCCTTATAGCAGAATCGCTGGAGGACCTAAGCACTATGCTCAATGACCTCAATAGTGTTTCCCAACGGATAGTTCTTAAGATGAACATGGACAAAACAAAGATCATGTTTAATGTCCATGTCACACCTATGCCGGTATTTGTTGGGAACACTAAGCTCGAAGTTGTTGACGAGTATGTTTACCTGGGACAAATAATCCGACTAGGTAAGTCCAACTTCGACCGAGAGGTCAATCGACGGATTCAACTCGGTTGGGCTGCGTTCGGGAAATTACGGCACATCTTCTCGTCAGATATACCTCAAAACTTGAAAACGAGACTGTACACCCAGTGCGTGTTGCCAGTGATGACATACGGAACTGAGACGTGGTCCTTCACTGCTGGCCGGATGAGGAAGCTCAAGGTCGCTCAGCGAGCTATGGAGAGGGCTATGCTCGGAGTTTCTCTGCGTGATAAACTCAGAAATGAGGATATCCGCAGTAGAACCAGAGTGACCGACATAGCCCAACGGATTAGTAAGCTGAAGTGGCAATGGGCCGGCCATATAGCTCGAAGAACCGACAACTGATGGGGAAGAAAGGTTCTCGAGTGGCAGCCTCGTACCGACAGACGAAGTGTAGGGCGTCCCCCCACTAGATGGACTGACGACCTGGTAAGATATGCAGGAAGTCGATGGATGCAGGTTGCTCAGGAACGTGCTTTGTGGCATTCTTTGGGGGAGGCCTATGTTCAGCAGTGGACTTGTGAAGGGCTGTAATGATGATGAAATGATGACTGACTTATGATGATTTATGAAAAATGAATGAATGTATGAAGCCCTCAAGTTCACGCGAGTTAAAGCTTATATATATATGCTATGGGTGTTTTCTCTTTAAAGAGGTTAAACGACATAAATTGTACTTACTCTTATAATAATTGTTTAACTTTCTCAAATTATATTTCGTGAGCATTGTACAGAACGAAGGTATGACGCACCGCAAACGCAAAAGCAACATCTCACTACATCTTCTGGTTGCTATGAAGTGTGTAAATTTTTTTTAAATAGTTTTGAAGAATATGATTCCCATTTCTGTTTTCACACAAAATAAATAACTAAATTTCACAAAATAGTGAAACTAAATTTTTGTAAAATGTTTTATTTTCGGCTTTTTATAATAGCTTATATATAACTTAAAAGCGAACTTCAAGGAACTAAAATAAATACTGAACTATAATTGAAAATTGGAATGTTCTCTAAATAGTTTAATATAACTAATACTTCATCCCATATCCCTTTATCTACATGTTGAGGGTGAAATTTTTCTAAAACAGGTTTTCCACGACAATTTTCTTAATCACCAACTACGACGACTACGTGGCAAATGAGTACTTATAATTCAAATTTACAATTTTATTGGTGTCGACGGGACACATACTCGCGTATTGTGAAATTTACAGCGAGCGCTTAGCCCCTATAGATATAACGGCTTCGTTGTTATAGTATAAAGCCGCGTATCGATTACGCGCTCTGGCAAGCGCGCCATGAATGACCGCGCGGAATGCGTTCCAAATGTTCGAAGTATACTAACAATGCGCGCCTGGCGCGCGTGGCAGCTGTTCCAGTTTATGGCCATTCAACATGGATGTTGACTGTGAACAAGCACCTGCCGCTTTAGTAGTTATTCACACTATTATACACAAGAAAAAATGATTCATGAGATATATGCAGTTTGAGGCTGTTGATGTCACATTAAAAAAAAATTACAAGGATGTCAACAGAGGACTTTAATCACTTGAGAAATTTGATTGAACCAAAGGTGAAGAAAATGGACACCCAGTTTTGAGAAGCTATTAAGGTGACCGTAAGGTTAGGGGGACTCTTAGCTTATAGTAGTCCCAGACGTTTGTGATGCCATCGGGGTTTTGGCGGAGTAGGTTAGAGTTATTTTTAATTTCATTATCATAAGGTGACATTGTGGCCTACGAATTAACGCTTAAATTTGGTGTTGAAGAATTTTGAGTATCTTGTTGTGTTGCGTACATTGGAGGCGTACTTGCCTAAATCGGCCTCAAAAATGATATTATTTATTGCCTGTTTGACAAATATCAAAGTGCGGTTATCATATTTTCTTAATTCATTTGCTATGTGCTGGCCATAACTGAAATATGGATCAGTAGCTTGAGACGTTTCACTAAGAATTTTAAATTCTTCTGTCAACACTTTATTTTCCTCTTCATGATGTTTTCTTTTTTTTGGGTTCTTGGCAGGTTTTTCTGGAACTTTTTCGTTGGTATTAATAGAACACTCTGGAAAATATTCTTCCTTTTTTATTTGTGAAGTTTTTTGTGAATATTCGCCATCATTATATGATGCAGGTTTCTGAAAAGAAAACGCGCGTATAAATCATTTAAGTATATTTTTTCAGATCCCACCTAAGAGGAAGAATGGTTGGAGATTTCTCAAGAATTTGATGATAAATGGAATTTTTTTCACGTTATAGGTGCCATGGATAAAAAACACTTTATGATGCAAGCATCTGTTAACAGCAGCGCGGAATATAACTACAAACACTTTAATATCGTATATCGTAACAGTAATCTGCGTCTACGAGTGCAAATAAGTACACGTAGATGCAGATTACTGTTTTGGAGACTTTCGGACGGAGTGATCTTTAAACACACTATATTGTAAAAAAACTCGAAGAAAAGTTTGAGAAATTCCACCAACGATACTTCAAATATAGGTATAAATATAGAATAAGAGTGACAAACGAGCACACAGTCCACCTGATGGTAAGTGGTTGCTGTGGCCCATAGACATCTACATCTATCCTCGTTTACGAATCAAAATGCAGATACGTTGTCACCCGTGAGGACTAAGATGGAATGCCTCGTTTCCAGTAAAAAAGGATCTCCGGTTCTCTATACTCACAATACGAAACACAGCAGTGTTGTGCTGCTATTTTAGGCTGGTATTCTGTGAGAGCGTGGTCCTTCCCCGGTCGAGCCGACCCATTCGTGCTACAACTATACTACTAATATAGCTGCAACATGGCTCTACCACGTAAAGTCCCATACTTAATTTTGGCAGATAAAGCGTTCACACTAAATGAATACACAATGAATCGATTCCAAGGAGACCCAGAGAGAGGGTTTCTAGAAAGAATATTTAGCTATCGCCTGTCAAGAGAATGTAGAGTGGTGGAAAATGTTTTCGGAATTGGAAGTTTAGTTTTTAGAGTTTTAAGGAAACCTATGTTACTTTTAACTGATAAAGCTACAAAAGTGGTTTTAGCTGTTAAACATTTACATAACTTTATTGAGAAAAACATCCAGTTCCCATTACATGCAACGTGGATCTTTATACACGGACACAGATACTGAAATAATACTCGGAAGTTGGGAGAAATGACAGTCAACTTTCATCATTACTCCCTATTACTAATTTACCACGTAGAAGTGGAAATGGTGCTTAGGAAAACGGTTTACATCTTGCTCAACATTTTAATTACCAATGGAGAAATACCATGGCAAAATAGGTATTAAAATTGGTGACGTTATTTATCTACCTGCATAGTGTCTGTTGTATCATTGGGTGTAAGCTTGTCTTGCATGAAACTGAAATCGTCAAAACCAAACCATTTTGATACATAAATACTATTTCGACCTGTGAACAATAAACAATTGATATGAGTCCTTAGTTTTATTAATGCAGTTTAGTTACAATATAAGTAGTCCCATGTAATACTTTACATGGTGTAGCAATGCTTTTCAATTTATAATAAATACAAAAATATATCAGAAATTAAACTTAAAAAGGTTCGAACATTCTTGTATGGAACCTGGCATACCTACCGACCGCCATTTTGGAAAAAGCTCGTTCTGGCCAAAGACGTAATAAAAATAAAAACTCTTAGGTTTTGGTGACCAGTGACAAAACATTTGTCAATCGAAGAAGTAAAGTAAATTGTTTGTAATCACTTACTCCATCGATTGATACATGTTTCATCACTGGCCGCCAAAACGAGATTTTTTCAAAGTGGCGGTCATTTATTAAGATGGTAAGTATGCCAACGATGTTCGATGCTGCTTAAAATATTGTTATTTAAATAAAACTGCCCTTTTTGATTTATTAAGAGTTAGTACTTATAAAAATCAGTGTATAATTACCAGATCCGGTAATTTGGCTTTTAGATATTCTCCATTTTTCTCTCCTGTACGATGACAAGAGTACGGTCATTTTTTTCTTCAATTCTGGCACTGATACTCCCATTTCAGCGCTTATTTCTCTCCATGCATCTTCTCTGAGCGCTTTCTTATGATAAAAACGATTTTTAGTATTCCACAGCAGATCTTTTGAACCATATAATTGTATTAATTTACGGCAACTTTGGTTATCCATAGCTCTGAACGCAACGCACACACGAATGATGAGGACAACCGACCCCACGGGCGCGCGCGCCAAAACTGAACTACTTTGATATGCGGTAAAAAACCGACACCGGTTGGAACGGCCCGCTCCGAGTTTGAGCGTTCGATCGAACAATTTGGCTCGCGTTACAAGGCGGTATCCATTACACGCGGCTGGAATGCGCACCAATGTTCGACCTCTTGGAGCGCATAATCGATAAGCGGCTTAAGAGTTCTTTATTTTAATGATTTCGGAACATTATTTCTGAGAAATATAATTAATTTCTCGTTAGTTAAAATTTTGAATTCATTAAACTGTTTTGAATTCATTAACTATTTTACGCTGGTATTCTGTGAGAGTATGGTCCTATCCCGGTTGAGCCGAATCATTCATGCTACACATCGATCACTAATATATTAGTGATCGATGATGCTGCAACCATAATATAGCTGAAGCGTGGCTCTACCACGGAAAAGCAATCAATGTTGCTGTGTTTCGTATGGTGAGTGTAGACAAACGGAGACCTGGAAACGAGGCATTCCACCTTCCTTCACCTAGATTCATGGGTCACAGCGTCAACTTCCCATCTGGTGAACTGTGTTCGTTTGTCACCCTTATTCTATAAAAAATTATATTCCCTTACATTCATTTGTTTTCAAGGACAAAGTGTAAGTATAGATTTTGTTAGATTAAAACACTAAGATTTACCACTCGATGAAATTTTCGTCAAACACTGGTTTGTAATAGTTACCGCTTACAATATCTTCGGAATCAAATGTGGTGGTGGATTATCTTAGGCACACTGTAATCCTTGCTATAGTAGAAAAAATAATATAATATCTAGCCCATATCCAGCCGCGGGTTATTACAAGCTTATATTAAATAATTTAATAGTAAAAACATTCTTAAAACAAGCTTTTATTTCGATGCTCTAAAAAAAAGAAAATCGACTTTAAATTTAAATAAGCCCATCAATATATTACATTACATAATTTATATGAGCTTGTTGCGAATTTTACCTATTTTATAAAAGAAACATTTTTTTCTTACAATTACCTACTTATGTCATAATCAAGTTACTTATTGTATTCTTGTTTATGTAGATACACAGGTAAATCTCGCGACAAGCTTTTGTATCACATAAATTGTGTATTGTAATAAATTGATGGGTTTGATTTAATTTAGTTTGTTTTTTTCTTTTTAGAGCATTTTAATAAAAGCTTGTTTTTAAAACTGTTTTTTTACTATTAGGCTGGCTATTCACTATGGAATATAATATGATATCCATATCATGGGAGTGCATAAAATAATGTGTCCACCATGTTGGATTTAGAGTCACTTCGTTTTATTTTCATATTTTTCTCAGCAAACCCTTTTATTTGATACCCATATCAAGGGAGTGCATAGAAAATAACCAGTCCGCCGACTTTGGGTGTCCACCATATTGGATTTAGAGTGACTTCATTTTATTTTAGTTTTCTTCTCGGCAAACCCTTTCATTTGATACCTACCCATATCAAGGGAGTGCATAGAAAATAACTCGTCCGCCATGTTCAGCGGTCTGCCATATTGAATTTAGAATGATGTCTTTAAACTAATTACATTTCATTGCCATCTAAAATAAAAATGTATACAAAATATCAGCTCAATCGATTGAGGATAACTGCTTTAAAATTAAGTTGCAAGAATTGACCCTAACAAACATAATATATTGCAAGTTAAATAAAAGCTTTTAAAAAGCATAAGCTAGGTAATAGAGATTGTAAAACAGTTCTAATTCTAATAATAAAAAGAGTTTATTTAATGAACATTATGCAAACTTTTACCAGTAGAGCTTAAGTGGATAGTAGTGATTAGCGCAGTAATAAAACGGTATTTTAGTTGGGTGTTGTTTGAATTTCAAGTGTTTGTTTCATTTCTGTGTGTTGGAGCGTGCGGTTTGTATTCTATTACTAGCTGATACCCGCGACTTCGTCCGCGTTGTTTGATGTATTGAAAGAGATTTTTTTATGTATATACCACTGTAATAAGCCGAATTATGTATAAATTAGTTATTTAACGGTGAAAAATTACTGAAAAAACTATAGGAAACTACGGGGGGTAATTGATCAAGCAAGGTACAACTGAACAGCATTAGTTCCCTCGAGCAAATAGGGGCGGCTGGCTCCAATGACACATTGAGTTATACTATAAATCAATGCATGGACAGATAAAAGTAGGTGGGCAGAATTTTGTTAACATCTCAACCGTCCACGCCGCGCGAGTGATTCTCGCCCCTACCTGTCCGCGCAATAAAATGTATTTTTTTTTTACGACCGCGCGAGACTTTCTTAGCAATAACGATTACTACTGAAAAACTATTATACCTACATTCAAATAAAAAAATATTCCCAGAAAGCTTAAAGAATTTAAAATTTAATTTTGTTAAAAGAAAATTGGTCAAATTAAAAATAAAGGATGAAAATAAAGCTTAAATATGGGAATATAAAAAAACGTATTTATTTTTATTTCGAGTTTTACAAGAAAAGTATAATATTTACTGGAGACAATTATTTTATATTATAATAGGACATGATATATAATATTATCAATAACATGTTATGTACTGAATATAGATAAATATATAATATATAGTCAAAGAAAGAACTGATGCACTGCAATGGCCAGGGGTATGAAATAGTGATGGGTCAACTCGAGTTGCGCTTTACTCGAGTTATAACACGCGTCACGTAATAAGAACGCTGGAAGAAAGTGGTGGGAGTATGTTTACGCATGGGTACAGTCTCGCACGAAAGTTATGTGCCTATTAATTTATTTTTTAACTAGGCTTTCGCTCGCGGGTCGTGGCTTCGTACCTATATATTTGTTATTCTTATTAGTTATAACATTGAAAAATATATAAGATAAAATATCAATAAAATGAATTAAAAACATGTTTGAATTATGTATTATAGAATGTTTAATCGAAATAAAATTAAAGTAATGTTGAAACTCCTTCCAATAAGTCATCATGCGTGACGTGAAAACCAGATGAGGCCACGGTGTTGGTGCTAGAAGTGGCCATTTCATCGTCGTCGCTGTCGTCACTCGAGCTTCCATCCTCATCTGAGTCGGAATCATGATCCCCTATGTGGATAGCAAATGTTTCTGTCGTCATGTCCACCACATGATCGCTTTTACAGTAATCAGCCTCTATTTCTTTTACCTTCGTGCATAGCTTCCCCCATTCTGTTGCTCCCATTAAATTTACTTTTTCATGAATCAACTCAGTTATACGTGTCAGGTTCCAAGTTACATTTTTACAGGCAACATAACTTTTTATTTGGGACCAGGCCATTTCAATAGGATTCAGGTCCGGGTGATATGGGGGCAAACGAAGTACAGAATGTCCTGCTTCGTTCAAAATAGCATCGATATTAAATTTCTTAAATTTATCTTTGCATTTTTTTATTAAGTTGTACAACTCCGGCTTTAGCATGGTCTCTTCAAATTCAATACCTTTTTGACGAAGCCAGGTTTGCATGTCTGCTTTCTTTGAATTGGACGTTGGTGCAGCATCGAGTTGTTTATTGTGGTACGATGCATTATCGACTACCACGACTGAATTAGGCGGTAAATTTGGTATCAGTTGAGTACGGAGCCACCGCTCGTAATTTTCAGAATTCATATTGTCATAGTAGTCGCCGCTTTTTGTACCGGCTTTAAACGTCAGTAAAGCATTCGGCACAAAACCTGCATCGCCACCCGCATGCACTATGACTAAGCGGCTACCTTTAGATACAGGTTTTTTAATGCCCTTGGTGGAACCGTCTGTCCAAGCATGGTGAGACGCATGGGAACTATCGACGTATGATTCGTCAGTGTAAATGATAGGTCTTACTTCCTCTCTATATTTTTTAATCTTTCTCAGATATTCAATTCTTTGAAATCGAATTTGTGACTGCTCAATTAAGATTTTTCTATTGGTTTCCGTTTTTTTCCATTTAAAACCCAAGTTTTTCAATACTCGCCTGAGACTTGCTGCAGATCCTTGGAAATGTATGTCATCCTGTAACTTCCTTTGCAAATTGCCTATGGTAGGCAATTCTTTTTCAGTAACGTGAAAATTATGGATCATTCTTTTTATAACACCCTGGTCAAAGCTGTCAATGTCTGTTATTGGTTTTGTTTTTTTTTTCTTTTATTTTTGCCGGGAGTTCGGAAAACAGTAAGAAATTCCGAATCTTTTGAACCCTTTACTATTCGTCTCACTGTCGACTCGGAACATTTTGTTGCCTCTGCGGTCCGTTTCATACATTGTTTTAAATTATTAACTACATTATTATCAGCTTCCCTCTTCATAAAACAGTATACGTCATAAATCATTTTTCTCACTTCTCTATGTAAAACCATTTCGTAATTTAAAACTTTTGTGCGCGATGGTATTTTTAAAAGGAACGTAACGTGGATATACGCGGGAAGCAAAGCTCAACTGATGAACCAATAGCGCATCGGTAAACATGCGGCGCGTGGCTCACCCGCCCCGCGCCCTACCTCATACCACCAAGTAGACCGATAAATCGCCTATGCGCAGCTTGACCGCCAGCGTTCTTTTTACGTGACGCGTACTATAACTCCAGTTGGATCTCCCTAATTCGAGTTTAGGCCGCTGTACATGAAGGGATCAATTGAGCCAGCAAAAGAGTAAGAGCGTGATTCGTTCGTTGTGTGCGCGCGTCGTTTTAAAAAGTATTTAGCTACAACCAAAACAATTTGTTATTTAGAATTTTATAATAGCTAAGTTATGTAATTTAATTTCTTTTATAATTTTGAAGGGTTGGTAAAGGTATTATCAATATAGTTATGTAAGTCACAGACCTATTATTGTAATACCCGAAAATTGTGGTCCAGTTGTAAGATACACCATATTTTAAATTAACGCCAATTGTAACACTTAACTTATACTAAATATTTTAATTTTGAAAAAATTTGAATTTATTTAAGAATATTTT